CGGTGTTTGCATTGTCCTTTCTTTTATGTTTCATTTTTCTTTTAGCCGTGTTGTGCTCTTTGATCTAATTTCCCGTATGACCTGGCCATTTTGTTTTCCCCGCCCTCAAACGGATTGGGCCACTATATATTGGTTCGTGTGAACGTGTGAAAACTCATGCATTAGATTTGGCCGGTACAATATACATGCATGAACGCATGCAGTACGGCCTGGGTTCAACGAAAAAGAAGAGAACGTCAAAAAAGGTGTGCTGTTAGCTAAAATTCAAATGACGACGGCAGAAGCCCGAGCTAATAGGATCCGATGAGAACGATCATCACCACGTCAACTGTATATCGTGAATTATCCTCTCGAGATGAGCATGTAACGTGAAGTCAATATCACATGCTGCACAATTCAAACTACTTGATCGTTAATCAACTACTACTAGCCTATAAATAGTGTCTCGGTCTTCCATCTGATCATCACAAACCCAAAGCATACCATCTCCTCTCCTCTCTCTACTTTCATCTCATGGCTGCTCCGGCTCTCAAGTTGGCCGCCGTCATGCTCCTGGCCGTCCTCTGCGCGGCTGCGCTGGCCCCGGCTGCGTCGGGACAGCCGACGGACGCTCTAGCGACGTGCATCGGGCGCTGCGGGTGTGTGCCCTGCCCGAAGGGGAAGGTCTGCATCGCTATTTGCACTCCCCCGCCGCCCTGCGCGGCCAGATGCCGCTGCACCTATTCCGGCACGGGCTGCTAAGCGGCTGAGACCCACGGCACAGTCCAGCAGGAAGCCTGGCAGCGCAAGCGCTGAAGCCAGCAGCTAGCTCATACGTTCTACTGTGTATTGTTTCATGCGTGCGTCGGTGTGCTATGATGTGGTAATAAAGTGTACACGGATCGATCCGTGAGACAAAAATAAATAAATAGAAATGTCATTTTCGTTTCACAGTGTATATTACCTTTATTATAGTCAAAAACTTCAGAGCAAATATAATGAAAACTATATCAACCTATGTAATACCAAATAAATATAGTATAAAATATGTTTTATGTGTATCTAATGGTTGATTTGGTACTGTTAATAATGATTTTTGTTGTAAACTTTGTCACAGGTAAAACCTAGCTACGTTTGGCTTGTGCCAAGACGAATATGCATTATATTTTAAAAAAAGTGAAGTGATAATCTTCCCATGCTAACATACTAGCTTTTCGAAAAACCGGTACCCGGAACGGATTACGTTTCATGAAGTAACTGTGTTGGAGGTCCTCCATCATTCAAAGCAAGGGTTCATCTGCCATTCGAAGTGCCATTGGCGAAGCCAAACATCACGTAGAGGCGCTGCAGAGTTACCTGTAGGGAGTGCCATTGATGGTGAAGCGGCTATGTTGTGTTGGGGAACATAGCATGAAATTTCAAAAAAAAAACTCCTACGCTCACGCAAGATCTATCTAGCAGATGTATAGCAACGAGGGGGGAGTGTGTCTATGTACCCTCGTAGATCGTAAGCGGAAGCGTTTCACAATGCAGTTGATGTAGTCGAACTTTCTTCGCGACCCACCGATCGAGTACCGAACGTACGCCACCTCCGAGTTCTGCACACGTTCAGCTCGGTGACGTCCTTCGCCTTCTTGATCCAGGAAGATGTCGAGGTAGTAGATGAGTTCCGTCAGCACGATGGCATGGTGACGGTGACGGTGAAGTGATCTCTGCAGGGCTTCGCCAAAGCACTACAAAATTATGACGGGAGGCGTAAATTATGGAGGGGGCGCCACACACGGCTAAGATAATGTCTGGGGTGTGCTAGGCGCCTCCCCTCTCACATATATATAGGTGGGGGGAGGAGGGAGCATCCAGGGGGCGCCCCAAGTAGGATCCGAATCCTACTTGGGGTTTCCCCAAGTGGCGCCCCCTTGCTTTTTTTCACCAGAGAAGAAAGGGAAGGGGGAAGAGAGAAGGAAATGGGGGGGGGGACCCCTTTCTTCCTTCTCCCACTCGGTCTCCTGCCATAGGGGCGGCGCACTACTCCTTGTGGGCTGGTGTGCTCCCTTCTCATGGCCCATGTGGCCCATATATTTCGCCGGGGGTTCCGGTAACCCCTCCGGTACTCCGATAAATACCCGATTCACTCTGGAACACTTCCTGTGTCCAAATAACATCGTCCTATATATCAATCTTTACCTCTCGACCATTTAGAGACTCCTCGTCATGTCCGTGATCATATCCCGGACTCCGAACAACATTCGGTCACCAAATCATATAACTCATGTAACACTATATCGTCAACGAACGTTAAGCGTGCGGACCTTGCGGATTCGAGAACTATGTAGACATGACCAAGACACCTCTCTGGTCGATAACTAATAGAGGAACATGGATGCTCATATTGGCTCCCACATATTCTACAAAGATCTTTATCTGTCGAACCGTTATGACAACATACATTATTTCCTTTGTCCATCGGTATGTTACTTGCCCGAGATTCGATCGTCGGTATTTTCATACCTAGTTCAATCTCGCTACCGGTAAGTCTCTTTAGTCGTTCCGTAATACATCATCCTGCAACTAACTCATTAGTAACTTTGCTTGCAAGGCTTCTTATGATGTGTATTACCGAGAGGGCCCAGAGATACTTCTCCGATACACGGAGTGACAAATCCTAATCTCGATCTATGCCAACCCAACAAACAACTTCAGAAATACCTGTAGAACATCTTTATGATCACACAGTTATGTTGTGACGTTTCATAGCACACAAGGTATTCCTCCGGTATTCGGGAGTTGCATAATCTCATAGTCGAAGGAATATGTATTTGACATGAACAAAGCAATAGCAATAAAATTGAATGATCAATATGCTAAGCTAACGGATGGGTCTTGTCCATCACATCATTCTCCTAATGATGTGATCCCGTTTTCAAATGACAACTCATGTCCATGGTTAGGAAACCTTAACCATCTTTGATCAACGAGCTAGTCAAGTAGAAGCTCACTAGGGACACAGTGTTTGTTTATGTATTCACACGTGTATTTAGATTTTCGATCAATACAATTCTAGCATGAATAATAAACATTTTATCATAAATAAGGAAATATAAAATAACAACTTTATTATTGTCTCTAGGGCATTTTTCCTTCATGTTGCACCGCTCAAATATTGACAGTGCCCTCGACAGTTGGGACGAACTCATGGGTGATCTCTTTATATGTCGTGGTGTGCAGCTGAGCACCCATGCAAGCATTGTTCGCCATCCAGTTGAAGTTGGCGATAAGTTCCTATAGATAGGAATCTACCGCCACCGTGTGGGCAGCTCCTGGCGTGCACTCTGCTTGTGGTAGTGCTGGTTCACCTCCGCACTGAGCGAGATGCATTTGCTCCTGAACACTTCGGGACCACATGCCTACTTGCTAACAAGTAATAAATTTTTCTTTAGAAATTAAAAAACATGAACAAAGGGTCGATTTTATTACCTCGAAATAAAGCATCAAGACGATACATACACAATGAGCACACACCCGGCTTTTCCACAGCTAGGCTATACACAACCAACATCAATGCACACATACAGAAAATGCACCATCAAATAGCAAAGTCATACAAGACCAAAACTATGGATAGGCGAGAAAAAAGAACCCAAAGCGAACAAATATGCAATGTGTAGACTTCATATCCGCACCAACCATCTCATGACACCACACGAACGATGAGAAAAAAAAGCGACACTCAAAACACCGCCGTCGTCGGATGCAACCACCCAAGGCCAAAATCTAGGTTTTCATGTTAATGAACCAGTCCAAGCGTATTCGAGGAATGCCTTCAACAAGGTAACGATGTAAAAACATCCCCATTGCCAAGTATAACCAACTTGGTTTAGGCCTAGGCTTTCACCCCAGAACCCGAGATCGGGTGCTCCATTACCACCACCATTGACGTTAGTCATGTGTTGTCGCCACCAATTTCCCAAGACCTAGCAGCTACATGAGATGTGCAACCATCGTCGCTGCCCAACCATCCCTCTGCATTAAGCCGTTGTCCATAGTTTACATCTCATTGTCTAAATCACTTGCTGGATCTAAAGGAAGAAACCCTCATGAAGACCTTTTAGTGGCCACCACATTTCCGCAATAAGACGGCTGACGCGGCAATAAAGTGGCAGCCACAGGCCAAAGTGGTCACCTCAACGACTAATCTGGGTGACGAACCGGCCATTCCAACATCCCAACCCAAAACCGGTTGGATCAGGACGACGGGTATCATCGCAAGCAACAACAATAACCACCACGCCCCTTATCAAGCCCCGCCAACATCGGTTGTCAGAACCACCGTCCCGTGCCTTGCTCCGCCTTAGCAGCACGACCACCAGGCGAGGCGGCGCAGAACAAGACGCGGAGCAGCGCTCGACCAGCAGAAGAGCTAAGGAGAAAGAGTTCCGGCGCCGCCGACCACCGAACAGAGCTTTTCCCGGAAGCCAACTGCCGACGACAGCGAGGGAGAAAGGGGGCGAGGAAGGGCCCTCAGCAGCGGTGGCGGCGAGCCACCCGAGTCGCCGGATGGGACTACATAGGGCCGCTAACAAGATGCGTTTTTCACTATGCTAAATGAATTGAACCGCTATTGCCTAGTCTGAACATTTGTGAACAGGATTGCTTCGGATTTGTACATGGAGTTTTGACTTGGCCGGTACAATATAGATGTATGAACGCATGAAGTACAGCCTGGGTTCATGAAAAACAAAGAGAAGGTCAAAGAAGCTGCGCTGTTAGCTAAAAGTCAAATGACGAGGGACGGAGCCCGAGCCAATAAGATACGATCCGATCCGATCGATGCTCTTCCAGTCAACAATGTATCGCGAGGTCTCCACTTAAGATAAGCATGTAACGTGAAGTCAATACTACTGGTGCACAATTCAAACTACATGATGCTTCCTTATTCATCTACTATAGCCTATAAATAGCGTCCCCGGCTCCTGTCTGATCAACCAAAAAGCATAGCATCTCCTCTCCTCTGCTCTCATCTCATGGCTGCTCCCGCTCTCAAGTTCGCCGCCGTCGTGCTCCTGGCCGCCCTCTGCGCCACGGCGCTGGCCCCGGGCATATCGGGGCAGCCGACTGATGACGGGCTAGCGACGTGCATCGCGCGCTGCGGGTGTGTGCCCTGCCCGAAAGGGAAGTTCTGCCCCGCCGTGTGCACGACCCCGCCTGCCTGCAAGGCCAAATGCGAGTCCGGCTAGTCCGGCGCGGGCTAGTAGGCCGGCTGCGAGTTGGCGACGCCGCCTGCGCCCGCCGCTGCTGCGTCCGTCAGGAAGCCTGCGAGCGCATGATGCTGAAGCCAACACCGTATTGTAAGTCCTGTATGTCTGCATGTATTGTGCGTGTCTGTGCTGTGTTGTGGTAAGATTGATCCGTGAGACAGAAATAAATAAATAGAAATGTTATCTTTTTTTCATGGTGTATATTACTTTTCTGAGAAAGCTAATTTCCGAGCCACCTGAATATTGCAACAGATCTGAACATGTTGGATCTCGTCCATTCTAGATCATACGGCCGTGCGCGATCTGGTGTTTCCTTTTTCCCTCCAGCAGTTTTTGCGCTCACTCCCGATGATTTTGTTCACGGTCAGTTGAGGATGCCTTTAAGAAGAAGCGCATCACGGGGCATGTTGGTACTCCC